CTTCCAGGCGACGCTCCGGACGGAACGCGCGTGGCCATCGGCGAGGGCGCTGTGGAAGGAGAGCGTGGAGAGAGAGAAGACGGTGACATTCTTTCCGTGAGCGGTTGCGATGAGAGGGAGGTTGGGGTGCGGTACGGAGGCCCAGGCGCGCTCGTGAAGGTCGGGCTTGAGGGACTGCAGCGGTGCGACTTTGGCAGAAGAAGAGGAGGCCATGGCTGGGCCTATCAGGGCAGCAATATCCCTGCCGGCTCGCTATGGGAAAAGCAGCTTCTTGAGTGACTGCATCCGAAAACAAACTGCGTACCCAGTCAGGTAGTTAACAAAAAAAGGTGGGATGAAAGTGCCCCTCACCTCTTGCTAGGGAATCCCCACTACACTTGACGTACCCTCTGGATGCTGTCCGGGGTCATCCCGAGATCGGCTCGAGGGTGTAAGGCATGGTAACCGCTTATGGTATGTTCAAAGTACCAATCCACGTACAAGTACCCCTTACAAGCTGATGGAGGCCCTTCAACGTTATACTGCCTGTATCCAACCCCTGGTACTCGAAGCCTTTTGTGTGTGTGGGCATTTCAAGGGCACCACCAGCAAAATACAAGCCCATGGGGGACACACACCACTCGAGGTGGCCTCGCTCGGTTTCGACGTAGCAGCTCTTCTCATTCATTCCTGAGAGCATGCTCGCGGTCTCGAACTCATAGCACAGTCCAAGGCAATACCAATCTCACGTACGTCAAACGTATTTTGCTTCCACACCCTCTATACATAACTATTCTGTACACTTGCTCCTGTGCAATGGGTTCATCATAATGGGGTATATGGTACACGTTAAAACACCGTTCTTGACCAGGAGCAACTGCTCAGTCAAGTCCTGACACTTGCGTAACTGACCAAGCCCCTATGTCTTAGCTCGGGGAGGAGGTAGAGGATCTGCATGGGTACTCGCAACATTTGGAACCTGTCTCGCCGGTGCGTCCGAATAGTTTTCCTCATAGTCGTCTTCGTATCCGTCGTTGGAATGGGTTGAGCGACTCTGTCCGTTGGCCAGGACAGGGGAGATGTCAGTAGGTCTTGCTGCCGCGTGGGTTTGATCTGAGACATGTTCCGATGAATGGCCGCCTTTTGCCGCTGCTTTGCTGGCTTTCTTTCCCTTT